ATGGCTGATGGTCGAGCCTAAGTAAAATCCAAAAATTAGCTCCTTCCTCAGGTTCAAAATATGCAGTACCCACCTCATTGACCGTACGCTGCGAATGACCCGAACGAGTGCCATCTTCATCTGGTACACCAAACACGGTGATGGCCACTAAGGGTCAAAAAGTCAATTCTGGCACGGGAGGTGTGAAAGAGGAAGCTCACGAGTGAGGATCACAGAGAGGAGGAGCTTGAACTGCATGTTGTTGCGTTGAGTTGATGGGTATGTAGGACTCCGAACCAGGTTGTTAAGTACTTGGAGAATGGGAGAATTGTCGGAGTCGGTATTAATATCGCCCGTCGAGAGCGGTGGTTGACCTGTCTCTTGATACACAAGTTGCATGGGAAAGATTCCTGTCGTGACTTCTTGCTAAAGATGATGGAGAGTACCGACAAGATCACTACCAGTGTGAGTTAGTCGAGCGCAATTTTAGAGAGGAACTTGCGGTCTTTGGTATGCATCAAGCAGATATGGATTCAGGGATTGAACGTCAATGCGGAAGAACAGATGCCCATACCTCCAATCCTTTTAGCGAGCTGAGACCCTTACGATTCGTCGAGGAGGCGTAGGAGTCGACCTGCAGAGCTAAGGTCAGTGACAGTGACACCCAAATGGTGATTTATAACCTGAGAAATGCCAGGACCCATCTGTGCCTGGTACAGTGAACAAGAAGCACACGGGTAAGGATCACAGCGAGGAGTTTGAACTACATGATTAGGAAGGAACCAGGCGACAATGACTTTCCAGTATCTGGGGAATCGTCGGAGATCAATACCTCGGATATGAATGTTACAACAGATGACAATCATCTCACCCTGTACGAGTTCAGCACACAGCTCTAAAAGCGTACGCACGTTCGATGGACCTGCAGACACAGATTTACAGGAGACAACGTGTCTACGATTCTTGAGCATCACTCTTTTCATTCTGGGAATGATTTCAACGCAAGAAAGCCAGATACAGACAAGGTAGGCAGCGTGGTCGAAAGAGGGCCGATTGAAGCGTAGGCGTAACCCTTGAGCCGGTCTTTAAGGATGCAAAACATGTTATCCAATTCGCTGAACGTGTTTATTGAGGCTCTGTGATCAGGGTCAAGTAAAAGTTAGTTACGCCCTTCCATCAACTTGGGAGTAAGCGCTTTCACCTGATCGCAAGGTTCCTCCCCATTAGGTGTTATCCGTGATATAGCAGTATATAATCTGGAGCGAAAGTCAACTTTGAACCGCAAAGGAAGGGGAACGTGGACAAACATATTCAGATTGGAAAGAGTAGAACGTCCTCTCCATTCAGCACTGTATCGGAAGTCGGGAGCGTGTGTTCCAAGAGACGAGTTGCGTAGATGAACAATTCGCAGAGTCCATAGAGACCCGGACAGTAAATATGATATTTCGAGCGCAGGAAAAAGCTTCCATCGTGATGTATGTCATTGGCCCTAGAATCGATCACGTCTTGGAAATTGAAACTTAACCGCAACCACCATGGCACCGCTCTGCCATCACTCTATCGAAGGTTTACTCCTTCCATATCCTCACTATATATGTGCTCATTTTCTTCCTAGACAGCTGGTTCCGTGCATCATCGCGATGACCTTGATCTCGGAAGGTGAACAATATCTTGCACGTCCGAGAAAGTTTCCTCTACCAGGTCATCCTGGTTTTTGAATTCGGAAATGTTCCTAGTGCTGGATGGATGGTGTTATCCAATGCACGGTGCGTGATGAGTTCTCGTGCCAGTGAATCATATCCTTTTTCCTTCTCTATCGTCCGTCGGCCGATAAGGTATCGGGAAATGTGCTCATCCGCCACTGAACAGTCACCCCAACCCTGAGAATGTGCTGGTGGCAATGGCGGTGTTGTTCGAGAAGAGTTAAAGCACGACTTGGTCAGGGAAGTCGTTCTTTGCGATATCGATGAGGTACTCGGGAGCTATTCCGCTTACTTAATGTTTTTTTTTTTTTTCGTAGGCTGTGACTTGAGTATCCAACCAATGATACTTCATGTTTTTTTTTGTCTCCCAAAGTTTATCGTTTTCATCCGAGACAGTTTCAAATTCCTGGCTGAGCACAAAGCTGCTACGATGTCCATGGGAAATTCCCCTTCTCTTCCATCACGTCTTCTCAAGCTTGAACAAAGCATTTTTGTACTCTCGAGGGCCTGGAGCTTCGATGCTAAGCCGTACACCGCGGTGTTGCTCATACCGTCCTTAGCACCAAAACATTTTCCTGATTGATTGTCCCTCTCGCCTGTCAATTCCCTTTCGGCTCTGGGCCTCAGTATATTTGGCGGTGCAGAGAGTTTCGACGCTCTGCCTGGTTCAATCTCAGAGCATTATGGCGGTACCAGTACCCCAAAACTTGGAGCTTGTTCGATTCCAGCTGGTGCTTTAAGAGTGTGGTGTGTGTTTTGCTTCTCCTCTCACTCCGCTTGCTTGAGGTTTGTGTTCCTTCTTAGCCTAGGCATGTTTGGATTCCGAAGTAAGGCCCAGAATGATGTTTTAGTCTGACAATAACACTGACATCTCGGCCTCTTTCGTTAGCGTAGGTACGCGCAAGATTTCTATCACAGTCTGGGTACCTTCAAGGGCCTGCATATTAGGTATTTCGACGTGCTCGAACATGTTGGTATTCTCTTCATGTATTTGAAGCCACTCGTGCTTGTAATAACTCTTTCCTTTGCTTGTGATAGTCCTTTCTTCCTCCTCCTCCTCCTATACTGACTTGTAATGCTCCTAGTCGTCTCTGCCATGGGAGACGATGCCATTTGGCCTGGCGGAGGCGCACCCCCACCGTCTGTAGGCGACGTAAGTCATTCTTGCAGATGCTCTCGAGTGTTTTGATGCGGACTCTTGAGTGTATTTAGGCTGTCGGTGGCGGTAATCCCCCTCCCCCCACCTAACGGGCTCTGAAGTCGGAGGATGTTGTTGTACTCTTTTTCAATACGAATGTGTCTGTCTGCCTGTGTTTGCGGTTCACTCATGAGATTAGGGACTACGATATTCGCGACGAGTGAAGCAAAGTCCGTATCTCAGAAGAAAGAAGTGATCATGGGAAAATGTATGCGCCTCTCTTCTTCGTCCAGCTTTGATACTCGCTCTGGGTTATAGGCACCACACGGATACATAAAATGGGGGGGACGTTGCGGTCAGATGAAAGCGCGTACTCGTTCCTAAACTTATGGGGGGGTAACTAACTTTTGCTCGACCCTCCTCACGTACCTCGCCTCAGTAAACATGTTCATCGAACTGCCTCGCACCCTCAAAGACTGGCTCATGAGAATTCGGGGTTCTCAATCGGCTATCCTAAAGTTAATTCCTGAATGAATAGGGTGATGCGAAAGAATCGTAGAGATGTTGTCTCCTGTATATCTGTGTCTGCAGGTCCATCGAACGTGCGTACGTTTTTAGAGTTGCGGGCTGAATTCGTACACTGGGTTGAGATGATTGTCATCTGTCACAACAGTCATGTCTGGCTGACTGATCTCGGACAATTCCATCTGATATAGAAAAAGTAATTTTCGCCTGGCTTCTTCCTCATCATGTAGTTCAAACTCCTCGCTGTGATCCTTACCCATGTACTTCCTGTTTGCTGTACTAGGCAGGTGGGACCCATTTCTCTGGTTGTAATTCAATATTTAGGTGTCATTCACCTAAGTTCTGCAGGTCGACTACTACGCCTCCTCGATGAATCGTAGCCGTCTAATCTGGCTTCAAGGGTTGGAGGTACGGGGATCCGTTCTTTCGCATTGACATTTTGCTGAATTCATATCTCAAGGCTTCTGGTACCTCGATGCATACCAAAGACCGCCTGCACATCTCTAAAATTGTATTCGAAAAACTCACACTGGCAGTAATCTTATCGCACTCTCCGTTCTCTCTGGCAAGAAGTCGTGCCAGGTATTCGACTTGTGTAAATACTGACTCCGGCTATTCTTCAGGTACTTAACAGCTTGCCTCTTACATACCCACCATTAACGCATCAACATGCAGTCCAAGCTCCTCTTCGCTGTGATCCTCACTCGTGCGCTTCCTCTTCCACACCTCCCGCACGCAGATTAACTTTGAAACTTAGTGACCATGGCCATGTTCGCTGTACCAGATGAAGATGGCACTGCCTCAGACGAAGAGCAATGAGGTGGATACTGTATATTTTGAGCCTGAGTAGAGAGCTAATTTTTGGTTTTACCTAGGCTTGAGGATCAGCCATGAGGTTATCGTTGCTATTTTTCCAGTGCAGAGCTCGTTTTCGATGCCGATGATGAAAAAAAAAAGTTTTTTGATTGTGCCGAGTCCTTTAGGTTATTTACGAACTGTAGCAAGTGTTTCCGTGTTGAGGTTCAGGTACAAGAGAGATCGCTATAATATTCTGCATGCTGAGCCCAGATTATTATTCTGCCTTTCCTATGGCAGTTCCTGCTCTTATTATTTGAGTCGACGCGGGTACAATAAGATAAGTACATCTGTTTGATTTTATTCTTCCTATACACGGAGTCGGAGAAGGAAAGAAACCAAGATTGACGGTATATCTAGTTGTGAGACTCCGAAGATACGTCGCTTTTTCCAGATCTCTACATAAATCCTTCTCCTTCAACCGCGTTTTGCTTTTCCACCATCCGACTTTTAAAGAATACTGTGGCTCCCTCGTGGTTCAGCGTGTCAAGTAACCGTTCTATTCCGTCTAAGCAGCTGGGATTTCGTAGACCCGCCTCTTCGTTCGATCCGATGTACTGATATAAGTATTGTCGATCCCGTTTTCGTGATTACACTTTTTTTTTTCTTTTTTGGTTCTGATTGTCATATATTAGAGAAGTATGGTTTCCAATTATCATGAATACCTTGCAATCTGAATTTTGCCTGAATCGGTGAATCGACGGCATTTGATACTGCCAATGATACAGACCGCGTTTGGATCACGTGGCCGTAAATCGGATCGGGGGAAAGGACGCGCTCTTACTCATCAACAGCTGGCCAACAAGGGGATTTTTATGAATTTAGCCGATATGAATCTTCTTTCACTCGCTCCAGGCTAGGATTAGCAATGGCCCAGTGACAGTGGCAGTGGAACAAGCCGACAACGCTCCCAGGAAGAGAATGCTGCCAGTGCCAAGGTGGTGTGGAGGAACAGCCGGTCGGACGCAGGACAGTTAGATGATGGGGGCTGATCTGATGTTTTGCGTTTTGTTGACTTTAGCTCTACAGGCCGATTCCTGCGTCTCGATGAATCGTAACCGCCTCGCGAAGAATTCGACGATTAGCCAGGCTCTGAGTGGGACGAATGCTGCCAGAATTGTTGGGATGGATCACCTGTGGTGTTTTTATTGTTCTTTCGATGTCGAAGCTTCGCTAACGCTGGCTCTTCGAATCGATCCTTGCCCGCCGCGGATCGTGGCCATGCCTTTGTGCCAAGTGAATCGAACCTGGAGGATAACCTCAAGAAACGCTGCCCTAGAACCGTGAATGGTATGGGGGGGATGAGAATCGTTTCTTTCATCTTGACGTCTTGCTGATGCCGTGTCTGCAGGTCTACTGGTACCGACCGCACCTGTCTTTACCCTTTGCCCTTTTGGGTATAAAGATCGATGATCGATAGGCGAGGCGCCTTTGTACTGCTGAATGTAGAGGCACCATTGTGGCGCTATGGTGTAACGGTCGAGGAACTCGGGCCAGCGACGTTTTTTCTGATTCGATCGCAGCTAATATCATTCCAGGAAATGGTTTATTTTTCTCGGGAATACTATGGATCAACAAGAAATAAATTTGAAACACGTGGTGATGATTGATACCCTTCTCTTTCGCAATCAGACACCTATTTTTGCTTCCCAATACTCATGTCACAATCTCATTTGTCGACCATCTTTCCACCCTTTGCAGCGGCCTTTTCGCCAGCCGATCAGTTGTATCTATTCGATTGCTGGCATTCTTGACCTATGTTCCTTGTTATCCTCGAGCGGTACATGTCTTTTGGCTAACGAAGCATCCCTTTGCAATTGTAAGGGTCTTCACGTATGCCTGTCATCGGATGAGGTCTTCCATTAGTATCTCAAACAAATATCTTGATTTTCTCTCCCAGCCTGGTACTCTTTGCGCAGCAGATCAATGAAGCGAGCTATTTGAGCACTTCTCAGTACGCGTACGCTCTGTGTGTAAAAACTTCCGTGCAAGTCCAAGACGACCTTTCCCTGCATTGCTGATCCGACGCCCAGGACCACACGAAAAGCCAAAGAAGAGCTGCTGACATTGCATAGCTGACCAAGTGATTCGACGGGGCCCGCTTTCACGTTTACTCGGTGTCCCAAGTGTAGGTCCGTTTGGTACAAGGCATTGGGTTGATACTTATTCCGATGCTTTGACACAGGTACTGTTACTCAGCGGTGCCGTTTGGCTGAAGCCTTGACATGCTTTTGTATGCATATGTCGATTTCGGAATGGTATTTTGCGTGCTCATTTCGGAGCAGTGGCGAGCCTATAATGTGGCCGACATCTCTGGAGCTTCTGTACTCGGCGCTGTGCATTCATCCTGAGTGGTTGCTTGTACCACTAAAGTGGCTGCCCAGCAGAGATACGATGCGGCTAAATCACTTTAGAAAGGTTGTGATGAAGGTGCCCCGGCTCAGGACGACGTTCTCCCCACCGCAGAGCCTATCACTACTCTAGATGGTCAAGCACGTTCGCAGGTCCCTATTTCGAAGGGACAAGTCGTCGTGACTTCTGTGTATACCTATAATCGGTGTGTAAACTTTTTTTTATGCTGAGCGTAGGGAAGAGTCATTCATTGATTGAGGGGTATAGACTTCCGTCTGTATGGGGAGATGATGCTGAAGAGTGGAATCCTCGTCGATTTCTTGAAGGCCGGGATACGAACCAAACGTCTCTACTCTACAGGCGTTGCACTCGTATTACTATCCTGCGTTTTTCTATGTCAGTCCCTGTTCTAATCATTCAGTCTCACTTCTGTTTTCCGACCATTCAGAACCGATGAATCTTTCGGATGTGTTTATTCACCCCCTAGTGGCAGGTGACCAGATGTCATGCAACAAGGCTCTTACTCTGGTAACCTCGTTCTGGCGTGTGTCTTCCTTGAGCACGCCACATTTAAATTGTTTGATGAAGAGAAGGGAATTCCATGTTAATCATACCACACTAGTCGAGAATAGATTGGAGCCCGCGGGCAATTTCGAACCAAGCTTCTCTCTCCGACCATCATCATTTAAATGAATATGTTGTTTTTTTTAATGTCTGCTAATCTGCTAGTCACAACGGCGTAGGTCCATCTCATGTTGCAAGGGATATTTAACTTCACTAATCGCCCGTTAGATTCTCAAATACTATCCTTTCTCCTGCTCTTTCTGGGTCTTTAACAACATCTGCCAATAGAATCTTGGCGTTCTAGGCATGGGATCAACGGACGCGGCTTATTCACGGTAGCTGACAAAATGGTAGTTTACGTGGTCACTGTTTATGCAATAATCCTCGAGCTTTGTATCATCCTGGTGGTCCACGGGTCCTGATATCGCTCCGGGCCATGTACAGCTGACGGCATTCCGCAAACTTAGCACCACCGAAACCATGCGCTCCTCTGTGTTATCAATACTCCGTCCTCTTATGATGTCGTAGCTTTCACCATAGCTGGCCAATAATACTCTTCTCGTGCGTTATTCTCCGCGAAACGCACCACAAAATACGACTGCTTCCGCAGAGCAGCGTGCGATGTTTGGGCATTGAGGGATCTTCTTCCTTGAACAATGGAACGCGAAGTGTGATATTGTACGTATATCTTCGGCGTGTTACATAGGGTTGTTTAATAATCAGCGTGTACGTTCTTCTCTACTATCTTCCGCATGCTGTCTCTTTCACATCTCCTCATTCTCATTCTCGTAGTATCCATCCTCGCTGTCATCCGAACGCGGTCCAAGCACAAAGCAGTGCGAAACGTCCGTGGTCCTCCGCGCCCTTCTCTTCTGTTGGGTTCGTTACCTGCTTAGTTTCTCCCCTGTATCGTTAACCCCATTTACTAGGACACGAATGGATGATCCGCCAGCGGGATCACATTGGTGGTCTGGAGATGCAGTGGCTTCGAGAGTACGGGGCGGCATATCGACTCGGCGGGTGCGTTTGGGTCAGCATGCGTTATCTTCGGTTGATTAAACTTGACTTTTTGTGTAATATAGCAAGACGTATTGGTGCTATCTGATCCAAGGGCCCTGCAATACGTTTTCCACACATCCGGATACCGATTCCCGAAGACATCCGATGTTCGTCGAGTAGCACATGCGTTTTTCGGACCTGGGTTGGTGACAGTCGATGGTACCAGTCTGCCCATTTCTGTATTATGCATCTCTCATTCGTTTACATCCAGGGACCGTGCACCAACGACAGCGAAAAATCATGAACCCCGCTTTCTCAGCTTCTCAACTTCGTCAATTTCTTCCTCTGTTCCAAAATTTTGCGTCAAGAGTAAACTCTTTAGCTACTTTATGCCTATAGATCTCGTCTGATTTTTGTTCCACGGTAGCTAACAGGCAAACTCAGGAACGATATTCAGGACGATGCTACAGGTAAGGTGGTTAATGTTCTGCAATGGACAAGCAAAGTTGCATTGGACATCATCGGCATAAGTAGGCTTTTTTAATGTTGTAGATTTGTCTGGTAGTGAATATTTCTACAGCTGCTTTCCGATACCACTTCCATGCTCTCGACGGTGAAGAGCTGGCATCGGAGCTCCGGGATGCTCTCCACAATATATTGTAAGCGCCACATTTAAATTACTTTCAGCTATGATCTAACCTGAAATTTTAGCATACAGGCTGACTTTCTGTCGCCCCTGGATCTTCTATATGCGTCTCTTTGGCGCATGCTCCCCAGTTTTGTCTTGAAAGTGCTTAATCCGATACCGACGAGAGATACATTCCGACCTCTGCAGTTCAGGAATTCTTCGCAGAGAATTGCCGGCGAGATCTTTCGGAAGCAAGTCGATGTGGTTGCAAATGACCCGAACACAGCCGAGAGGGACATTGTGAATGTTCTTGGTTTGCGATGTTTCTTCGTCCTTCTATCTGTATCGAATTTACATCCATGGCAGCGTTATCTTACCTTACGGAAGAACGGAGTAAACGAATGAGCGATGAGGAAATTTATTCTCAATTATCGTGTGTTCAGTTATCTTTCTTTCTATGGAACTTCTCTAATAATTGGCGTTAACAAGGACTTTCACTCTCGCTGGCCATGACACTACCGCGACGACTACAGCATGGGTCCTGTACGAGCTCAGTCGTAATCCACATATCCAGGCACAGATCCGCGAAGAGATCTTACAGACACAGGAACGCTGCCAAGGAGATCTCACTTCGAGTGATTACGACTCCATGCCTATGCTTAATGCTGTCATCAAAGTTTGTATTCTAACTCGCAATGGATAGGATCAAATTTCGATTTTATCCCTGTAGGAAACCCTGCGTGTTCACCCTTTCGTTACTACCTTGCTCCGAGTTGCTGCCCAGGACGACGTTATACCTCTCTCAGAACCCATTATCGCAGTAGATGGCAGTTTCGTATCGGATATTCCGATTCCGAAGGGGCAAGTCATCGCGGCATCATTGTACACTTACAACCGGTATGAGTCATCGCTGCGGTTGGATTTTTCTCCATCTGATATTTGCCGGTGCAGACTACCGAGCGTATGGGGACACGATGCGGATGTTTGGAATTCCGATAGATTTCTACATCCTTCGTGGAGCAAGCAAACGCCCTTGGGAGTCTATGCGAATCTGTGAGGACCCTGTTATACTTGTGCTACTTTGACCTCATCGTCCTATTCACAGGATGTCATTCAGTAAGTAACTTGATCACTGATCACGCTCCAAAGGCTCTCCAATAACCAGTCTTATTTCCTAGGTGCAGGGATTCGTGCATGCATCGGGTACGTTTCGATGCTTCATAATTATGACAATTCAAGTTGGGGCTAAATAGTTCAACATTCCAGGTGGAGGTTCGCGTGAGTGTTGTTCGTATCGTTCTGTGTTATATACTTATTCGAGCGCAGGATTATGGAAATTCAGGTCCTCGTCACGGAGCTTCTGGGAAAGTTTGAGTTTAGCCCGTCCGAAGAAGGATTAGAGCTTTTGCACGCTCCGGGAGCACAGACTCTTACACCGGCCGTGAAGGGAAGGGCCCACGAAGGGGAGCAGGTTCCGTTACGCGTTTCCCTCCTCAGCGAGGAATGACGGGTAGCTGTACAACCCATGTATCCTTAATATTGGTTAACCCTCCCCCTCCTTCCCTAATGTAACTGTAATGAAAATGTAAATCTAGCCATGGCTTTCGACTTCACCCGATAACAAACTGAAGATGAATCTCATAGACGTTTGCAAAAAAGGATAAGAAAATATCCCCAAATGGGGTGATTCGTGTTGCTCGTTATCACTAAACGCAAGTATGAACAGTTGAAGGTCATACGATTATCTTTGACCCATCATAGCTCTTTGCGCATAGCGAAATGCCGAGTCCTTCCTCCTTCAGGCCTTTCAGCCGCGAGACGTCAGCGGAGGACAACGACACTGGTAAATCCACATCGATCTGGACCGTCTTCAAATACGAGCTCTTCCATCTCATAGCCACCGCATCAACGAACACTGCGTCAACAAACCTGGCACCCGTCTCCTCTGTGTCGCCAAAACGTATAAAATGGCGTAAGAAAATAAGCGCTTTAAGATGCGGCACCAATCCGTCACGAGCGATGATGGACCTGAGGCAAATGTCGTCGGACCGCCGCCACTGGAAGAATTCGAGGCTCAGGGATGCGAGTTTTGGGGAGCGCTCGAGGATGCCGGAGAGATAATGGTTCAGGGGGGTTTCGAGTAGCCGGAGGGAGAGTAAGGAACAGAGGGAGTGGGAAATGAGGTCGTGCAGAGCCCGAAGCCTGTCTGCTTGAGGCGGAAACCCAGTGGGTGGACGCGCGAGGGTGACATCCGTTAGAGCTGGTAGCGAAAGGCTACCAAGCAAGCTGGAATCGCAGATGTTGATGGTAGTGAGATGGTCGTGCTGTATTCTGGGAATGATCCGGGACGGCAATGCGTCGGAGTTATGGAAGGTTTGGAGGTCGGGAGCAGACCGTATGATATCGAGATTCGATGGCTGGGGTGGATGTCGAGGGTCAGGGATCCGGCGATCAATAAATTTGATTAGTCGTGAAGCCGGGAAACGGATTTGTGTCTTTTGATTAAATTGCCAGTCGATGGTCAAGTCTATAAGACGTGGCGCAAATTCAAAACCGTCAATAACGTCGACGTCTGGATAAGAGGAGGAAAGATAGAGGCGGGAAAGATTTGGAATGCGACCACGTATTTGAGAAAGCATGGGTACAAGATCGGAAACGAGGCTGAGATCAGCCACGGACCAGCGGTGGGAATGGGCAAGGAGTATTTGGAAGAGTGCCTTGAACTTCTCATCCTCTTCTGAGGTGGTACGCTTCACGATAGAGCGAAACACAAAGTGAAGAAGTTTTTGACAGCGTTTCAGAATAGTTATAAGCATGAAGCAAGGGTCTTTTCTGTGTACGGAACGATGGCTCACAATGAAGTTGGTCCAAAGTTCAGGGCAAGAAAGGGCAGCCGCCCGCCATGTTTTGCAAACATGTGAAACTACCCAAGGACTTCCCTTCATACGATGAACGTGGTAAGACTGTGAATTTCTCGTCCATGAGAAAATTTCCATCAGCAGTTCCGGGGGAAGGCGACGGACTGGAGATAAAACGCGTTTGTAGATGGCCAATGCTTCTTCCATGACCTTTTTTTCAGCATCGAGATGCGCCAAGTATTCGACAAGCTTTTCCTTGGCTTTTAGTGCTCGCTGAAAATCCTTGCCAGAGGGAAAGGTGCCGGTGGACAGGAATGACTGCATAAGATGAACGTTTATCTGTGGCTTGTCTATAGGGGAGGAGCAACCACACTTGGAGCAAATACAGATGCTACCCTGCAGCATCTAAAAGGTGATTCAGCTTCTTGAGGAAATAGAGCTCGAAACTGAAATGGTAGTAGCTTCCTACGTACCTCGACCTCGGAGTATGTTTGGCCCTTTAATGATAGAGAACCTTGGCGAAAGGGAAAACCAACAAGTTGAGAAGTCCGATAATGGTGGCTGCAGAAAAAAATCGCGATCAATGTCCGCAATCATGCCATGACCAACGGGACGTTGCCGTTAGCACCGGCCCGGGGACAATAGTTCTTGGAAATTGAGAGAGACCAGTTCCCGACTCTACATTTAACGTAGCAAGTTCACACGTTTCTTTGTCCTGTTTTCTCTTATTATCTTTTACGCCAAATCATCGACATCGAAGAATTCTTGGTTTAGCAGTCTTTTTGGCCGCACTTTCTTACGGTGCGGCATATCGGATGGTCCTCTTTTACTATGATACCTGCACAGACAGCTTACTCTCAGCGTGATGTTCAAACTAACGACATTGATTGGATATTGAATACATGCGTCATAATAATATTTTCAGACCCCTCCCAAGTATATCAGGATGTAGAATCATTTCCCTGTCCGTTTTCTACAAAATACCATAATGTCTTAGGTATCTACCGCCGTTGAAAATCCCACATCCACCCACTCCCTCATCTGCTTCCCATACCTTATCGCTACCCACAACAAACTGTCGTATATCCAATGTCAGTCAGATGGGAGGGGAGGGAAACCAGAACTTTTTTGGCTCACACAAAAGCAAACCACCCGATCAATGATATGATACCGTAGGCAATGGCCACACCCCAACGGTTGATCAACGGCAACACGAAGGCGACAGCTACAGCAACTATCATTGCCCGGGAGCACCTGGGGAAAAAAAAAAGCGAGTCAAGTCATGGACGCATCCTGGTCTGAAATTTACGTTGAACACGCCATGACCTCCGCACTGCGGACATGCATGATATCCACCAAATAGGCCGCAAGAGGGGTCAGCGCTGTGTTCGCGCCGACGCCATTGATGAAGAAGCATATCAGGTTCAAGACGAGGCCGAGCTTGTTGTCGATAAGTTGTGTGATCAGTCCCGAGAGGAGGACGGGCAGCGGGATGAGGATGAGGGTCCCGATCAGTGCTGCTTTCAGTCGCTCTTCTGGACGCCAGGAGTCGGTGCCGTATTTCTTGCGAGAGGCGATAACTATGCGGTCGGAGAGACGGCCTGCCAATGGTGCGCCGACTACAAGGTGGTAGCTTCAGAAGGGGGGATGCGAAAGAAGGGGGGGAAAGTTAGTACTGATGTTGCCTAGTCCTCCTGGCAGAATACAGGCTCCGATGATAAATTCGTTGGTGATGTTATATTTCGCGCCCTAAGAGATATGTGTATGTGTGTCGGCCAAATTGGAAAAGTCAATTGGGCGTACAATGGTATACGCGATAGGTACGGTCAATGCTGGAAATTGTGATAAAGAAACCTAACAAAGATAAATTTTCAAAGCGCACCACTGGATGATATCAAGACTGCGGCGCCAACAAATGTCTAGATGGTGTTAATAAGTTTTCACGACATAGCAAAGAATTATCGTACCATTAGCAACAAAAGGGGACTACGTAGAAGAGCCAGGGGTGCGAGGGGATTCAGCCAGACCCACATCCAGCGTTTTGGCATGTCATCTGTATCTTCATGCATCTTGTCGATACCCCGCGATCCTGGGTGGCTTGTTTCCGGAAGGAAGAGAAATATCAGAACGAACCCGACAAATCCGGCTAGGGCAAGGACGGCCTGTGTCCACCGCCATGACGCATAATGGGCTCCCCATCCTAAAGGATCAGAAATGATGAAATGATAGATAGAAAGGACGTATTGTATTATGTTTACCTCCTGCTAGAGGCGCAAGCGCGGAACCGAGTAGGGTCGCCTGACAGCTCTGTTAGAAGAGTGAGCACGGTTAGTATAAGTGTGACACACACCGCGAAGAATGTGCCCATTGCTGATCCCCGTTCGGTTACCTTGTAGATGTCACCTATGACTGCTGCCCCTACGGACATCCCACCTGAGGTCCCAAATGCTTGGATAAACCGGCAGACCATCATCTCCGGAACATTGCGCGACAGAGCAACGCCAATGGAACCGAGAGTGAGAAATGGAACACTGGCAAGGTATATTAGTCGTCGTCCGTCTACGACGTGTCCGTGAGCGAGAGAGCACGGAGCATCGCTGCTTGAAGAGCACAGCACTTACAGAAACCGCTGTATGTTGCACAAGTCATACCACCCAGTGAGGCGGCGAACATTGACAAGCTGACGGCCAAGCTATGGCATTCGTTAACGATGAGAGAATACTCTCAAAGCGGTTTAGGTACCTAATTGTGGAACCCGTCGAGTTCAAATCGTGAGCAATTTGAGGTATGGTGGGTATAAACGTTCCTGACGCGAACACTGACGATAAGATGGTCAGTCCACCTTCTATATCTGATATTGACATATCTTGAACTCAACTTGGAACGAGAGCGCTCCATGATACGAGAGCCACGATTGTCCTTTTCCTCGCGGGGGAAAATCGATTATAGATTTCTTCATGACGAGATACCTCGTCGAGAAGCGGCGTTGACTCGGAAGCCATTCGGAGGCTGGTGACAAGGATGACAAAAGAAAAGGCTAAGGGATATTTGGCGTATTATTTGTATGCCATCTGTCGTCACGGTCAGGACCTTCCGTCGCGGTCATGGGGTCATCAATCCACGGACAACACCCACATGGCCATCAGATTTCAAGCTGGTGATTACTATCTAGCCGTCTTCCTTCAATGCTAACATACTAAGAAGCGGTATCTATTTTATCGCGAGGAACGTGCAAGGTTATAAAGTGGATCAAGTTTAGTTATGAGAAGCTGAAAGTTACTACTCCGACTTGAATACCGACACTCGAAGCGGTATCTGGACGCCTTCGTGTATTCTCCCTTGGACCAGAGGAAACACCGCTCTGTGTCCAGGGGACTGCAGCATAACGAAATCCTCCTCCGGAAGACCAAATTCAAAGGCACCCAGCAACTCTGTGATCAAGGCCTGGATTTCCATGATACTGGAAAGATGAAAGATGATGGAACATCGATATTGCGATTATTCGGCACAGAACCACTCGCGCAAATCGCCATCTGTGGATGGTCTCGGTATTTTGACACTCAATCGTAGCGAATTGGAGAAGAACGTACCCGATACAAGAGTGGACCCCCCCGCCTTGATTATACGTGGATCAGCTCTCCGGGTCACGTAATCCGGAAAACGAACAATGGCTCACTAAAGCTCATCCTACAAAGAAAGACGATCAGCCCTCGTCCCCAAGTCCAACGCGAGAACGGCACGTTACAAATTCGAGAATACCCCTAGCGACACTTGCTCAGTCTCTCGCTGGCGTAGGAATCTCTGCGGATTCCACTGCTCGGCGTCGTCGCCCCAGACGCTCGGGAGGCTAGCACATACCGTAAAACAAACAGCTGATGAAGACAATGGATGTGAAAAAACACACCGATTGTAAGTGTACACGGAAGCAGTGACGATCTGTCCCTTCGAGACGCGTACCTCGTGCACGATCCTGCCGTCAGTGGTGGTGATAGGTTCGCCCAACGGTATGATATCGTCTTTGCCGGAAATTCGGTGGAGGACGTGATTAAGTGGGAGTAGTCGAAGTGTTTCCTGTCGTAAAAACGATCAGTGGTGATCAACTAACTGCTCAGTAGGACGTGATACCTTGATGGCAGCATTGAGCGTAGGCATTGAATTATAAGCATTGGAAGAAAGCGGCCTGCTATTGTTAGCTTTGGCTTGCTGGATTTCTGCACGGATCGCAGCTTGATCACGAGGGTTACGTGCTAGCTCATAGAGCACCCAGGCAGTAGTCAGGGCAGTCGTGTCGTGTCCCGCCATGATGAAAGTCCTATGGATGGAAGTTGAGCTCAGCACAGTAAGAATTTATTTTAGAAGTTGAAGCTTACGCAAACTGCGCGTAAATCTCTTCCTCAGTCATCTTTTTCTTGGGTCCTTCGGTGAGGTGAGAAAGCGCTTAAAGTAGATATATGTGAGTCTGAGAAACACGGGGGGAAGGAAGGACAGCGTAACATGCCAAGGACGTTGATGATATTCTTTTCTGAAGGAATGTCACTATCGGCAAGAACAGATATCTGCTTTGCAAATAATTGTTGGGCAGCTTTTCTGGCTGTGGTCCTGAACCGCACGAGTCGTCGTGTTCCTCTGGTAGAGATTCGCTGGAGTAAAGAAAGACCCCAGTCCGGAAGCAAACGCCAAAGCGACAAGTACAAAAGCTCTAGTGATGATGGCCACATCTGAGACTCGCCACTAACGGCAGTCATGAGCTCGACCAGAAGAATAATGGGAGAAATAACTGACAGCATATTATGCAGAGCAGACTCGAGTTCCGTTTGTTGCCTGTCCATGGCATCCATGGCATTGAATTCATACCGAAAAGAAGCTGGAAAATGTCATAATTAGCACTATCAAGTGCAGAAAAGACGACGACCTTACTCTTGCCGATGACATCGAGTGATGTTTTGGTTGTCCATTCGAATATATCAAGGACCTTTCCTTTCCCTGTCTGGGTGGAATCCTCCATCTTTTTCTACAAAGCTAATTGCAATTAGACGGTCCGAATTTCTGGGCTGGAGCTCAATACCGACTTTCGATGCGGCGGATTGGAACACGATCAAAAATTGGCGTAGCTGTGACGTCGAGAAGGCGGGACCGAGGATCTTACGTTGCCGTTGGTGAATTTCGCCTGAAAAGTTCGTCCGTCTCTCTTATTAGAAGGGGCAAAACTTGAGTAAGAGCATACGGTACCTGCGACTGTCCCCACGCCTGGTCCTAACATGATACCCGTGAAACGATCTTCTTCCGGACTTTTTGGATAGCGATATCCAGAAGTGTGGAAGACATACTGCAAGGCCTTGGGATCCGAAATGATTAGTACATCTTGCTGGACGGGACACTCAGTTTCTCGTTCCCAAAGTAAAAGAAAGAATACGTCATGCCGAAGCACCCGCCCACTCGATAAGCACCGCCATACTGTTGATACCAAGCCATTTCTAAATCTCCGATGTTTTCTCGATTGCGAATGACCCATTCATGACCTGAGAGAAATATGAAAATCGGGAGGAGAGGTTGGAAATGACCTAGTAAAAAGGAAGGGAGGGGTGGACCTCGAACCCTCCGTAACGACTTGTGGCGTACGAGGAGTGTTACGCAGGCATATACCGCAACAAAGACACCCAAGAGATACAAGAACGTTTGCATATTGCTAATTGCCCCCGTCGGGATGCTGAGAAGGAAGTACTTTGAGTCGAACGTCTTATACGGCCAAGTTTCCCTTTCGTTTATCAAGTCGCACAATCAGGACGGGTTCTGTATACTGTAACAAACAATGACCCATTTCATTTCATGACGGGCATAGAAGCCAGAACAAAAATAATGACTTACGGTACATTGACTCAGTCGTTGACACGAGAATAATACGGCGTTCCGGAAGATTACTGAAGTCGGGCTTAAAGGATTTGTCAAGTAAGACTTGAGCGGAGTGACAATTTGTCGGCGAAGCGAATCTTGAACAGAATCTCCGGGATGATTATGGATGTCGAGCCGTCTTATTTTCCACATGAGAAGAGGAGGACATTCGCGTTGGAGCACTGGTGCTACTAGAGGTGATCAAGGAAGAAGATTCGGCGGTGGTGTTACTGCAGATCTGATCAAGGAGCAGAGTCGCTCTTGAATTAGGCTAGGTTGATTTCATTGTGTTAGTCATCTATCGTTCGAGATATCGATCAACGTGTTGATGCATTATTGCATAAGATGACGGGAAACGACATTAGATGTTATTGGCCAGGTTTGCAGCAACGTCAATCCTCCGTTAGGAAGAAACGAGGATGGAAGGCCGGTCATTACGACACGTATACTGGGGATTAAATATCCAAATAGTGTTAGAAGTCGGAGAATGATAGGTCGACACGTCACGAAAGTGATTGGTGGATTGCAAGAATAAGTTACGTGCAGACTGCTCTGCAGCAGCACTATGGTTGTCCAGAGTTTTACAACGAGTTATCGTCCGAGTCTGAGCAATCTCTCCAAAACTCAAAATAGCAACCTGAAGGAGAAAAAATTAGAATTCTACATCTTTGGAAAGCTGAAACGAAAAACAAACTATTTCGGTAGCATCCAACACGCGTACCCACAATCTTCAGCCGTACGCGAGTATTTTTTTTTTCAATAATCTGCTGGCGTTACGGACCATACATAAATATGTCATACTTGATCCTCTGAGACAAATGAAGGCGCGGATTTGAATTAGGGTCAAATCTCAAGCGAGGGTGTATAAGCTGCAAAAATTTAGAGTCGTCCGCCCAAGAAAAATCGCAGTGCACCGACCTGATAAGACACAAATACCGTTAAAGGTCTGCATTCAGCGGAAAACCCCTTCTGAGCTTTTTCTTCATGTTAAAAGGAGGACACGAACCTTGTTCACGCTTGTGACGACCTCTGCTTCCCTACTACCACTCAGAAACATGGCGTTCTAGACGCCCAGTGTGGAAACGACGGGCAATGCTGTACCCAAAAAATCGTCACGGTCCGCGTAGTTTTTGATGAACAATGTGGCATTAACTATTTAGATCACGTGAGACCCCTACCGGCCCGCAGTGCCAGTCAGACACTGTCCAAGGCAGCTCATCTCCGAGTCCAAGTCTGAAAGAGTTAGCACGAATTCCATTAGATTTCTCTTTTCTTTCGGGAGTTTTTGCACTGGTAGCAATTGTCTTGGCTCATCTGACACTCAGGCTGTCTGGGGGGATGTCCCATGCAATGTAAAATAGTTCACATCTTCTCCACTAAAGCATGTTCCCTGGACGTGGGGACCCGGCCGGCACGTGGTCATCAGAGGGACAAACAAAAAAACCGGGAACTCGTGATTGCAATCACACAATGTTTCTCTGGTCTTGCACAATTAGGTTTTTCTAGCGTCTCCGATATGATTTGCTTCCATCCACCAACGCGTCCTGCGTCCATTCATTTCCGACTGTCTTCTCAAGCCTCGTGGGGATTGCGGTCCTGATTCCTCCATTCCACAATGTCCGAATCCGAATCCGAGGGTAAGAAGCCTTTCAAGGACATCGTTAGGTGACCTATTTTTTTTTTACTCTGGACACACCTACAGCTGAGTCTTTTGCAGGCATTTTTCTCCCGCATGGTTTGCCGTCATCATGGGCACTGGGTCGATTAGCATCCTGTTTCATGCGTTTCCGTATGGCGTGGGCTCTGCCGGGATGATGATGAGGACCATGGCGCTCGCGTTCTTCTTCCTCGATACGTGTCTCTTCGTCGTCTGCCTGTCCGTCTCCGTCCTTCGCTATGCCATGTTCCCCGACTCGTGGAGCTCAATGATGCGTCATCCGTCCCAGAGCCTCTACACCGGCACTTTTCCCATGGGCGCTGTGACCATTCTGACGACGGCAGTCAGCCTCGTCCATGAAGACTATGGATTCGGTGGAAAGCCATTTTTATATGCCATTTGGTGGTTATGGTGGTTGGACGTGGCCTGTTCCTTCATATGTTGCTTCGGCGTCTTGTATTACATGCAAGTACGCCAAAAAAATTATCCTGAACGCTGCTTTTGATTGTTTTTTTTTTAATTGCAGGCAAACGGCACATGTTCACGCGTTGCAAGGAATGACGACAACTTGGCTGCTGCCGGTAGTGACTCTGGTTGTCGCCTCGTCAGCTGGCGGCACCATAGCGTTGTCGCTACGCCAGTATTCGCTGGACCATGCACTCGTCACCATCACCGCCTCCATCTTCATGGTGTCGATCGGACTATCATTAGCCCTCATGCTGCTAACAGTGTATCTCCTCCGCCTCATTGTATACGGTCTCCCGCCCGGCTCGCGAATTACCTCCGTATTCCTACCTCTCGGACCCATGGGGCAGGCCGGGTACTCCATCCTCCTCCTCGGACAGTTCTTCCGCACCGTGTTGCCCCTTCCCTATGGAAACTCGGAACTACTGGCCGACGAGTCGACGGGCCGCGCCATTAACGTGTTCTGCACGGGCATTACCGTGGTCCTGTGGTCCCTGGCGTCGATGTGGCTGTTATTTGCCCTCTTGGGATTACAGAAGGCTCTCCGTCGAACGCGTCTCCCCTTCAAGCTAGAAATATGGGGCATCATTTTCCCGAACGTAAGCCCCCGTACACGTATTGGTTTACGTCTTTGCCTTACCGTCAATTCAATTCGGGGGGTTTATTTATTTATTGTAGGGCGTCTACGCGAACCTTACTCTCAACCTCGCAAGCACTTTTGACTCGTCGTTCTTCCGGGTGTGGGGATCGGTATATGCCGTTTCGACGCTGCTCGTGTGGTGCTTGGTGGCTTCGCGCACGCTAGCGTTGACTTATAGTACGCAGATATTCGAAGTGTCATCTACGAATGATGCGGACGTGTCGGAAGGAACCTGGGACGTAATAGTGTAAAACTGATCAGATCCTGCTGGAATCAAAAAGAGTGGTTTCGGAAGAGTGAGGGAGTGCGTACCATAACTTTAGATATGCAACCTCCACTTTGATCATGTCACTGTTGCTTGCAAGTACGTACCCAGTGCTCGCCCAATCTTGCAGTTCACGTTTACTGCCTGCACTTCTGCCAGCTAGTTATCGAATGCTAGAGGTAAACAATTCCGTTTGTATCGATTCCGCGGGAGAACAACCTCGATCTAGAACTGTCACCAGCGCTTATTTCCGAGGACATCTAGGGAACCAACCCTTCAAGGCAAGTGCACAAGGGAGTCCCACTCTAAATACATCTTTTTAGAGAATGTGTGGGTGCTTGCAACAATGATCCACACCAGAAATAGCCACAGCCACACATCTATGTTTGACAACCGGCAGACAATTTTTGGGGGACAATTTACACAAGTGCGTAAGTGATTGAATACGGGAACACATAAACAGTCATGGGATCCATTTTTGTGAACTCTTTTCTTATACAGCCAAATACTCTTTTTCTTTCTCAACCTCAGATTCGCAAGAAGCATGAGATGCCAGACACGCGTTATTACACTCTGTGGAACCGCTCCTTGGACAGTAAAATGCCCAGAAAGACCGCGGAGACATATGCCAGGACGAGGATGAGGACGATTCCGGCATCCTCCTCGTCATCGTCGCACCGCCCGATACTGATACCCGAGCAACGATCAGCGTAGGCGCCAGGCCCTAAGGATAGCACATCCATCAACCCCGGGGAAGAGAGAGAGAGCGCCAAAGCGAAGCTCACAGTAATTATAGTCGCAACGACTATCGGATAGTTCGTATGCACATCATTCGTGGCGTAGAAAGCCAACAGGATGATCAGCGCTATAGCGTACAGCGCTGCGGATTCGATGATGGCCTCTATGGACCAGAGCCAGCGCGTCTCCTTCTTGATACTTGGTCTAACAGCTGTGATCCGATATATGATGAGCAGCGTGCACAGCAGCGTTACGGCAAGCGACATGGAGAAGTAGGGGAGCAACCAGTCGATCTGGGCGGTGCTCCATGCGCTCCCGGGGGGAGGCGTAGCCGTTTGTTGGTAGATGCTGAAACCTGCGAAAACTGGGTTTGGATTGTCAGTTCTAATTGACGATGATGATGGTTGAAAGGGGGGGGGACGTACTCGTTCCAACGATGGTACATAGCCCTGGCACGACGACGAACATCCATTTTCGGCCACAGATGATCCAGCACCGCCAGATCTATGTCATTACAACACATCAGACTCGTCCGAATGTGTAGGATATAAAGAAATATGCTTACCATGATGCAATCTGCGATAAGGGTATTTGCCATGAAAGCCGCTGTGCTCAGGAGCATCCACTTGGGCGCATCGAAGAAATAGTCGTATGTCGTTTCCTCCGTTTGGCCATGTCTTATGAACCCCCCTCGGATGAAATCCCATCGAACAGCGAGATGGGATGTGGCGATGAGGTGCATTGCGAGGACCAGTCCGCCATGAATGAGGCGATCTCTGCCTTTATCACGGACAGCTAGCGTATGCATGAGGATGGTGTATCGACCAAGACATCGAGACGAAAAGCATACCGACTACCCAGATCGTAAAAGCCACAACAGTAGTGTACATCCCTATGTAACAAAACGCGATTCAGGTAAGCACTGGTAACATTTCAGATGAGGAGCGTACCATAGAGCAGAGATTCGAGCAATGTCACATTCAGCAGTGTATCGCGGTACTGAAGTGAGAACGCTGCTGGATAGGAGGCCATGTTGGAGCACCACGAGTCCTCGACGAACAAATTACTCGTTCTTATATTCCATTTCAACTCCGCCAAGCACGCGCAACATCAATCGGAAAAGAAACCACTCCGTAAACCCTCGTGGGTGGGTGTGATACTATGTCGGCGGTTAAATGAACTGCAGAATTGAATGCCTATGAACCGATGACTGCTTATGAGGCATTTGATAAGAACACGCTCCTTTGAGCTAGGCGGTTGTTCCAGTACCAGGTAAATGGAACTAACATGCTTAATTCCATTCAAAGCGAACTGCCTATTTGATACTGCGAAGTTCCATCACCGTCTATCGAGAGCTGGTGGGGAACGCCGACTACTGAATAGGTCAATAGCGCCCAAAGATGATGATCAAGGGAGATGATGGTTTCAAAGATTATCTCGCCGAGATGCCAGAGAAGCTTTGAAATTCTCATAATTTCGTGTTGTCGAAGGTTGTTTTCGAGGCAACGCCACAGTTGGAAGTCAAAGCGAAATAACCGATAAGATATAACACAAGAACGTGGGGAGGTTCATCCGATGTGCCCGTCTATTCCGGAACGGAATGGAACAGAGTGATCTCCTTATGGCACAAAGCTTGAGTCAAGAGACTTCGAAAAGGAGAAGGAATCTCACTTCGTAATGACACGGGACAGGAACAGGCGAATCCTCCTCGGCAGAAGTTCTTTTCCAAAGAATAACACAATGTGCGTGGTCATAGGAGCGCACACAAGTCCAGCCAGATGGACAATATTTACGAAAGGACTGGCTGCCAGCATATGGAAGCTATCATAGTACCATTGGGTTTTGATTATCGACCGACCCTGGTCGTATCGCTCGAGACTTGTGTATGCATGGTGGGCGCTCGGGCGGGGCGACATCGGAGACACCATAAAAAAAGAGAAGTGATTCCGATAGACGGTACAGTTTCGCGCCTAGATGACAACGTAAAATGCACGGAGATGTTGCCATGTTGTTAGCCTGTATCTCGACATAGGCACCTAGTAAATACAACAGTCCCAATTTGCAAACAATACAGACTTCTCGAAGTCTCCGGTATATGCTTTAAAAAACCTTATGTTCAGGAACAGCGGAGGGTGCAGCCTCGTGAGCTGGCGGTCTGGAGCTAGAACATCAGCCAAGGAACATAAATGAGCTTCAGACACAAACCTATCTAAGGACATGTCCCTCTGTATGATCTTTTGAGTGTCCACTGACCTCTCCGACTCTCCGTATCTTGCACTTCGCAGGCGTTATATTAGAAGCATATCAGAGGAGAGTCAAAACGGGCATACCAAAGATTACATTCTCGACATGGCGCCCACATCGGCATTTCAGAAGAAAAGTCATTCTGGTCTTGCACTATATGGAGGTGAGAGTAGGGAACAGTCGACGACGAACACGGTGATGGTCACTACATCTCCATCAACTTACAGCAGGAGACGTGGAAGAGGAAACGCACGAGCGAAAGATTACAGCAAGGAGCTTGAATTGAGGTAGGCTGATAAGTACCTGGGGATTTGTCGGAGGGGTGCGCGCGCGCACGGCGCAGTCGGCCCAATATGTGCACCAGTACACCTGCAGACACAAGTCCAGAAAATCGTCAAGGCGAAAGAACTGATGGTCGTACCTCCAGGCCCTTGAGCAGATCTTCCAAATTCAATCCGCTCAGAGCATACAGATTCAAGGGATACTGAGACTGTAGACGGGAAAAGGTCCATCTTGAGAGCAAGTGTCGGTGATACGCCAACGCCGAAATAACAATGAATGTACCTCCATTCCATCGTCTTGGGCATTCCAACTTCCAAATGGCCCTCCAATTAATTTCAATGTCAGGAGAGTGGGTTACGACGTGCACGACAAAGGTCGCTTACAAATCCAAATCAGTGATATTCCAACGTCGAAACGAAGGTCGACATGCCCTATCCGTGAGGCAGTATCATGTCCGACTTGAGCATATCTCCCTATCCTATCGCCACGATCCTGGACTGGTCGCCAGTGATATCGAGTGAGTCAGAAAGCATTCTGGGTACGAACGGCCCACGAACTGGCCAGAAATTTGCACATAGATTAAGGCCCTTCTGTGAAGATGATACAGAGTTCAAAGGAAAAAGTCAGTGGAACCTTCAGACTGTCAGAACGACATGACTGGGATCGAACCAGACAAAGCATAGCTGAGAAGAGGATATCATTACACTATGATGCCGCAATGAAGACACCACAGCTCAACGCTATAGAAAGACTGTCCATCCATCTTTAGGCTCGAGTAGGACACGGGACCAAAGGCAGTGGATCAGTAAGCCAGATCTAAGGACATCATTTTATCATCAGGTCGATGCGCTTCAGAAGAGATGAGGTGGACGGACATTATATGCACTGCCAGTAAACCATAGCTTTTGCCGATCTTGGGTCTTGTATGCAATTATACGCGTACATCTGTAGAGAGGACCTTAATACCAGAACAGGCTTGAATGCAAGCAGAAGCTACACACTGCGTGGATAAAGATAACTGGCATAAAATGTCAGTCAACGTGATTCTTCATTGGCCAGAAGAAAATACCTATCACTCATCACTTGAAGTTAAGGGAAGGGCAAGCCTTGGAGAGAACGGAAAGCGTAATCGGTCTACACGATTGCTACAGGAACATAAGAAGGTAGAATTCAGCATAATGCACGCGATGTATGCATCAAAGCAGCCGCGCCAGTCCTGCAGACCTGAAATTGACAAATAGTCAAGGCGAAGAACCGATGTCGTACCTCCACTGTCAGCTCAAGCTACCCTTCCCACATCTCTTGAGATCTTGAATGTCCAATTCGCTTCGTGCAAAAAGATATCGTCAAATTTCACCGCGTGAAGGGCGGATCTAGATAGCTGGACTTAGCGACACTTCAATACCGGAAGAACAATGAACGAACCCTCCATCCGTGGCTCGGGCGTTCCAACCCAATAAGCCTCACTTACTTGTGGGCCATCGCTAACCGTCGAATACTGCGTGAGGCTACAAAGATGGCTGTAGCGCAGTAATGACCAAACACGTATTGGAACAATCAGGTCACGGATGGATGCCATTACGATTCATCAAGCAAGGGCGTATACAGGTTGATCATAACCTACAGAACTAGAATCAATGACACCCTAATGTCGGATTAGAAAGAACGATGAACGCACGAGTCCACGCCTATATTCTGTACTGTGTCCGACCGGACGTTCCTCCACAACAATCCTAGCAGTATTTGTTTCCTTGTGGGCTATCACCAGCGCTAATCGTCGAATCATTTGTGAGGCTGCAAAACGACCTGCGATCTGGGACGAGCGCAGAAGGAAACTTGTAATAGCTAGACGAATATGGCGGTCTTGTTGAAACGACGCGGTACCCGGTACCCGGATGACAGCAAGCCTTTCCCACGGCCCAATTTGCGACCATGTGATCCAAACACGGTCTCTCCCATTGCCAATTTTCAATTTGGTCTGTCTTCGACTCTTCAGGTTCTTTCTTGGCTCTGGTCCCGCCTGAATCAACGTCTTCCAGACAAGAATAAAATAAAGTAATTATAACGAGTCCTTTCTCGCCACAGGGGGAGGACCGACTGGAATGAAATGACCAACCAGACGGTAATCTTGTTCACCTGCTACAGCCCCCACTGACTATAGACGCGATAAGAGAAACGCATCGATGAAAACTCGCCAAGTGCTCTACGAGTCATGCAATGTTCCTAGTCATTAAAATGTGACATAGCAACGCCGAAAGAAGTACGTCCCCAACTGATCGTCGACAAGAGATGGAATCCTGAAGCTCCATATCTCAAAATTTTACCCGACGCCATATCTCATCCACTACTTGTCAAACACAGTTACAAGTGATCGTATCTGCACCCCTTCCTCTTCCTCACCTGGAATGATGGGATCAAAGCCGTACCAGCAGAACCATGTTAGAGGTGTCTGATTAACTGCCAGTGATATTGTATTTGCTTAGTTGTGACGGGGGAATGAGATGTCAGGACTGAAGAACCAAAACAGAAGGAATTGAGTGGGTACATAAGGCCGAAGCTACTACAGTCATATTGTCAAATGTGAATATATTCCAGCTTTGAGGCCTCATCCATCACGTTTTGAATGTTTTTCATCATCAGGGCCAAGCTGCAGATTGTTAACATCACAGGATCTGTTATCAAAGAAAATATGCATGCCGCACATTTGATGATAGAAAATATTCCAAATATATCCACCTGATATTTCTTCTAGACATATATACGCTTCTTGATTCTTTGTTCTACCAACAGTTCCTGGTTGCCATGTGGTTTGTATTTCTCAGAATCATGAATTCCATCTCACGCTTTCTGTTCAGAACACTGGTTTCATGGTGATAGATGGACAGAACACAGATACTTATCACAGATGAATCCAGTGGGACTTGCGCTAGCTGGGCTATATAAGGAAAAACATCAAGCTCTGCCCACGCCTTTCCAGGATCCACTATCATGTCGTCGGACAGAGTATTCATCAATATTCTTGAGTCGTACCTGAACGAAGCACCACTGGGGGCTTTTTTTCATGGTCTGTGGCTGTACCAATGTGCACATAATCCGTTTAACCTAAAAGATCACAGGCATCTATACGTGTACCCTAGCAGTCACTCTATGGGTAATAGGTACGTGAGGTCTTTAATGATTATCTTTGAATGCACACACAACCTTCATATTTACAGCGAGGAAAGGAAAACAAATGAAAGCAAGAAACGCGATGGTTTCTATCATTGTCATCTTGTACATCTTGGCTACAATTTATGTGGCAGCCGACTGGAGCTCAATCAAATATACCTTCATCGACAACGGGGAGACACTCAACACCGAGCTTCAAGCACTGACCACAAGCAGTTCTCATCAGTGGCACATATATCATTGGTTAACCGGACTCACATCCGGGCTTGCTACCACCATTGCCGATGCTATCATGGTCTGCCACCATAATTTCTCTTCCCCTTTCATGAAGAGTATTGAAATTTTTTAGATCTGGCGCTGCTGGGTTATTTGGGGCGGTCGCTATGAATTCATTGCATTACAAACACTACTTCTTTTCTCTCAAAATGGTATGCCTCTTAGCCTTATTGTTCTCCTCCTGAGATTAACCCAGCACAGTTTTCGGCTTGCTGGCCATACTTGATAACATCCATGGACCAGACTATGGTCCTATATCGGGCAATGGACCCATCGCTGCACAAGAGGTCGAATGGACCACCATTTATCTTTCGCTCTCTTTAGGAACTACGCTGCTCTGTACCGTCCTCATCATCTACCGCATCATAATGGCTGGGAAATCTTCAGACAACATTGGTGCCTACCATCGCATTATTGAAATTGTCGTCGAGTCAGCTTCGCTCTATGCCTTCTCCCTAATATTTTGGATGGTTTTTATCCTTTGCAACAATAATGTGAGCCCTTATCCACAAGTCATATATGTTTCGATCACAGTTTGTCCTTTTTCCCCCCTTGTGGTAGCTCAAGAACTGATGGTTTTTCAGGGATTCGCCCCTACTCTTATTGTTGGACGCGTTGCATCGGGACAATCACGCCCTAATGACAGCTGGAAATCAAGCAGTGTCTCTATGATGCAATTCGGTGGACATTCCGCTCTCCGTGCTGCGGAGGGCACATCGAGCAACTCCCATGAGGTCAGCCTCGGGAACGGTGGGTTGGAGAGGGAAGATAGTTGCCATTGTGATAGTGCTTTTGGAGATAGCAGGCATGCTACGGTTGACCTAGAAAGTAATTAACAGGAAGAACTGATGGTCAGCTTTCCTATGATATACGTTTATATCCTTCTGCATGGTTTCCCTGTAGGCCATTAGAGTGAAATCTCATCGCTGAAATAACCCTCCATGATACGTGGCTACTAGGAGCTAATAGCCATAGATTCACCAGAGTCATTGCGATGTAATTTATGTAAAATAATTCGAATTGCTCATGGTATGTGACTGTTAGCTGAACAAGCCAACACACCAATATTGAACCGGTGAACGGGCCTTACCTGTACATGCAAAGTCACGCTGATGCTTGAAGATTCTACATTACCCACTTAGCTACAATTATGGGACAGTAGTAGAACTTACTAGAATACTTGTAGAGGTATATAAGTCCTGTAATTGTACCACTAATAACAAGTTCTTCATCCCTCCATTTCCCTATTGCTGCTAATAGTGACCTCCTAGAGTCCTGACAGGGATGCCAACATCCAGCGTCAGATAAAGATTATTAACGAAGGGTATCCGGATTTCTCAGCCGGTTTGAGGCTGTTAATAGCCATTGAAGCTGACACGATGAATCGTCGGAGCAAAAGAGAGACTCAGAAAGCCGGCTTGTTCTTCGTCGTCCGGAAAGGATTTGCTTTGGATTGGAATCTAGTTCCCACGCCTCTTCTTCACCCACCATCACCCGTCTACCACAGCAACCCAAATACTGGTCTCAACAGTGCCCCGTACTTCGCAGTTTCTTGATTTTCGTAGCTGGAAGAGAACCCAAAAGTTCTTTAGACGTTTGGTCTTCCTTTCGACCCATCTATACTGCAACAAAGGCAATTTTCCTCTGGCACATTCGCAAGTGGCTCTTGCTCACGTCACGTCCAACTTTCTGCCTTTTCTCTCCAACAATGATCCTTTTCCTGATTTCAACCAGCCCAAAACCAGTACACCTCTCTTATCTCCGGCATCCTGAATATTGACGAAGGTATCCAGTGACTTTCTCGAGCACCGCGCTAAGATGCTACAAGCAGTAGATGCTTACAACACTGTTGTCCCAGCCCACCCTGTTCCGCTGGAGATATGGTCCGAGATATTTCTCCATCCGAAGGAAATGTCACCGATCGTACATTATCTTGGAATGTTGAAACACTTCCTGTGGGCCCTCTGTACCTTCACAGATTTCATCCGTGAAAGTAACATTGCACTACGCTTCCTGCAGGTTGACGCTTTTCAAGGAAAATCCCTTTCTGCACCTATTGTTCATTCTCATTTGATAACGCCGAGGTGCTCTTCCGCGACGTTCATCAAAAGTCTTGTCCTTCTGGTATTAACAGACATCAATATTAACCCGCTTGGCTATATGGAGCCATGAGCCAGAGGGAGTCCTGCTTGCCATACATGCGCTCATATTCTGGTTGCGTTGCATTTTCACTAGTCCGAGCCTTCTCCGACATTCCCTTTGCAATGATCTCTTGCTCTTGTTGAATTTGACCCCTCAACGTACTCGATTGACCGTTGACTTTCCCTATTGGCGTCGGGCGTACGATAGACGATACGGGGACTTGTTTTTGCCTCGACAGAGAAGCAAGGAGATGAAGACCATTTTCTATTATTTCCTTATCTCAAAGTGCTACGCACTTCCTCCCGCGATACGCATAATACACAGCTGGATGACGACTAGGGATGTGCACCATACGGTTATGGATACGGCTGTAACAATACGGCTGTAGACCGTACCAAAATTGTTGCCGACGGTATGGTACGGTTGATGTCAAATCGGTACTGTTGTCCGCATACGGATAGTTTTACCACGACAGTGAATATTAGAGTCAAGATATGAGTATTAGTCGCTTCATTAACATCATATGTACTCACCTTGATGGCATTAGATTATCCTCGGCTCTCCATCAACAATCTTATTTCAGCCGTATCAATACGGCCGTATTTTGGGTCGTCGAAGGTAGCCACGGTACGGACCCATCCGTATCCACCGCATCCATCTTTTATCAGATGACCGTGTCATGATGAGATAAGATATACACGCCTCAGCGGAGATAGTCTAGGCCGCGGCGTACGGTATTCTGGTCCGGTCGTCCGGCACAATTTTGCTTACGATCTGACTTAACATTTTTTCTTCAAAGTTTCATTGTACACACCACTTGGCAGCTTCAGGTCTGCAAGCTGTGATAACCCACTCTCCACCTCAATTTAAATCAATGGCGAACAGGCCGGCTAATATTTCGCCATAATTGCCGCTGCTTGTGGATGACTCATTATGTACCATCTGTCAAATTGAAATCACCCTGTTGTGACTCGTTGAGTTTCTTCTTATCCCACTCCCACTCACCGGTCTAGTTCTCGTCTCGCCCATGGATTCAGAGTCCACCCCCCTCCTTGAAGAGGTGTCTAGGCATGAAAAAATCTACAATCGATTCTCCCCCATTCAGAAGCGGACAATTGTAGCTCTTGTATCATGGAGCGCTTTGGTCCCGAGTTGAGTTGTTAGACGAGCTGCTGTGTGACGATGAACTGACAGGTCTTCATCAGTGTTTGCATCAGGATCGTTTATTCCTGCAATACCTCAAATCGCGCATGATATGAACACAACGGGGACAACAATTAGGTGCGCAATGGTACTGTCGACGGCGCCCCATCATATTTGCTAACATCTCCGTGCAGTTTTGCTGTCAGTCTGTCAATATTCGCTGCATCACTGGGCGGGATGGTATTCGCGACATACAGCAGTTTCTGTGAGCTTAGTTTTTAGTTGTACAATTATTGAAGCACTCATAAACGAAGACGGCCGGCGGCCGGTATATCTTATCGGCACCCCTCTGCTCACCCTTGGGTCCATCGGCGTCGCGTTATCGCGCAGTGTTCCAGAAATGATGGTGTGCCGCTTTATCCAGGCATTCGGAACTTCTGGCGGAATGTCTGTAGGGGCAGCGGTGATCGGTGATATCTACAAGCTGACGGAGCGCGGAACGGCAATGGGCATCTTCTTTGGGGTATGTGGTCATGCTACACTTCATAACGATACGCTTATGTTGCTACTAGGCAACGCTCCTTGGCCCAGCACTGTCACCTCTGGCTGGAGGTAAATACACTATCATGTCTTTACGTTCGTTCTTTTTGACTCATTTCTTCCCACTCAGGATGGGGCGCACATTACGCCTCTTGGCGATGGACGCAGATCGCCCTCGCTTTCGCCGGCTTCGCCGCGTTCATGCTGATGTTCTTCTTCCTTCCAGAGACGAGTCACCCGGGATCCCGTGGCATTGACAAGATGCTTGAAGAAGAAGATGCAAAACAGCGAAAATGGGTTTGGTTGAACCCATTCTCGCCTTTGGCACTTCTACGGAGCCCTAACCTAATGCTTTCTGTATGACTACCTGTAACTTTCTCCTTTCATCAAGAGCGCTCATTTCGTATTTAGACTCTTTCTGGAGCGGCTGTTCTGATTACCGACTTTGGTGCGTTCTGACTCCGAGTCCCTTCGGCCAGTTTGTAATGTCAATTATGTCTTTAAGCATTATTCATACCCATCGCATATACGATTGTAGGTCCACCCACAACCTTTTAATCTGTAACTGATCTTTCTCAGGGTGTCAAATACAATATCACAAACGAATTCATTATTGGAGCTTGCTTTGTGCCTGGAGGGCTAGGCAACATTGGTAACTCTCCTTCGCCATGTTGTCAAACACCTCTAATTCTCCTCTTGCATTCCAGTTGGCGCACCCCTCGCAGGGTATCTCTCAGATCGTGCCGTTATCATGTCTCGTAAAAAGTATGGCGCAAATTCCTGGAGACCAGAGGAGCGTTTAAGAGCCGCACTCATCGGGACTCTCATCCCTGTACCGCTATCTGTCCTCTTCTCAGGGTTGATAACACAATACATCGACGGTCCGCTTGGGCTCGTGCTGAACCTGCTGTGCTTCTTCATCAACGGGGTTGGCGTCGATATGGCTTTGACGCCGGCGACTGCTTACGCGGTGGACATATTGCATTCGCGGAGTGCGGAGATTATGGCAGCCTCGATGTTCGTTTTATCTTGAACGATGGAAAGCAAGCTGACGCCTGGTTTTGCAGGGGCCTCAGGTCAGCGATCCTTTCCGTGTCTGTCGCACTGGTATTACCATCGATCAAGAGGTATGGCGTGGCCGTTACTGACAGTATTGCTGCTTTGATCGGGTGGTCCGCATTTGTGTACGTGGGATATACTTTGAATTTTTTCATTTTGCTATCTGACTGACTTGATGACATTACAGGATGGTGTGGGTGACGATCCGGTACGGAAAGCGGATGAGAGAGTGGGTAGACGTGGGCTATTCAACAGCAACAGATACATAGAGTCAAAGAGCACAATAGAAGTTTCGTCTTGATGCATTTACTGTTGAATCCCTGATAGTGAGCTCTTCCAGAACCGGATTTCTTCATAAATGACTGCTTCGTCATGTTCTGCTTTCTTCGCTCTACCGCTCGTACTTAGCAACATGCAATGGATAAATATCAAGAAGCAGATCAACCTTGGACCGGATAATTTTCGGTACGCCAAGGAAGGGCGGTCCGTGGTATGATTCGCGACCATCTGCACTGAGAAGGCACCATGGTCATCAGGACGTCTGAATTAAAAAGAAAATATCTTCTCTCAAACCAACAATCATGCTGACCTTCGCCCTTGCACTCAGTGTTCTACCACTCATTCACTCTGCTTCTGTATCCTCCTCAGCCGCCCAGACGTTCCTCGGTGTCGGAGGCTCAGGCGCCTGGTGGCCTATGGACCTGTATCACTTCCCCGAAGCGACACGTCAGAACCTTTCGGACCTCCTCTTCTCCCAGGATGGGCTGGGAATCTCAAGCTACCGATGGAACGTCGGGAGCGGGGGCGTCAATGTATCGAACCCCGTCCGCGCCCCCGAGACATTCTACGTTAGCCCGGGAGTGTACAACTGGTCTGCAGACGCTCAGGGTGTCTATTTCTTGACTGAGGCGTCAAAGCGGGGTGTGCCGGGCCTGACGATGTTTGCGAACAGTGCACCTGCGCCCTTGACGTCGGGTGGGACGAGCTGTAATAGTCATTTCGTTAACGGTTAGTCTTTATGAAGGGGTCTCTACATGTTTATCTGATTTGCCGGTCGTCGGACTAGGTACCGGAGCAGCGTATGGGACTTTCCTGGCTGATGTGGCTTTGCATTTCATTCAGAGGGGCATTGGCATCAACCATATTTCTCCAATGAATGAGCCCGATAACAACTTCGGACCGTCTCCGTGCGGGCAGGAAGGAATGCAGGTCTTTCCGAATCAGTAAGTCTTTTTTGTTTAATATATTTGCCAAGATGATGAGAATGAATTCTCTCTCAGGCGCGCAGAAGTCGTCGAAGGACTTTACGACGCTCTCAGTTCCAGGGGTTTGGCCTCGTCAGTCGGTGTCCTCGCCGATGAGTCTTCCAGTCTTAGCCTTGCTACGAGCGAATATGGGTCCTGGCTCCCTCAGGTCATCGACAAGGTCATAGTTGCCATTTTATTGGCTTATCCTTTTTGATGCCAAGACAGGTCGCCGCTCTGGTACACCATACCTATGACTTCCCTTCTGACCCTAGCTACCGCTCATATATCAGTACCACCAGCACCCTCTACCCCGGTAAAGCTACATGGATGTCTGTGAGAATCTCAGGCTGTTCTTGAGGTACAATATCTCAACTCGTCCAGGAAATCTGTTGTTCACTTGGCCAAGCCGATGGCACTGGAAGAGGCTGGTCAGAGGGATATGATCCCACGTACGTATATATCTGGTGTTCGGTTCAGCTGTTCACGGATACATTCCAGGATTAATAACGCGCTCATGTTTTCTGGATTGATGTTCCAGAGCTTCATTGTAGCTCAAGAACCGCATTACGATGTGAGCATCTACGAAAACTAAATGAGGTTTCACTCTTATATGTACAGTTTTGGACCTTGGTATCAAATCGTGCGTTGATTTGACCTATGGTGGCCGGTGCTTACTAGTCCTTAAAGAACTAGGTTGCTCTCCCACTGAGGACCCTAGTTGTGTATTCGAATCCAATTCAGATGGATGGACCGTGGGCCTCTCTCCAATCCTTTTTTTACTTTGAAACTGAAGTATCTAGGACGGTGTCATATACTACGACGGCTCATACGCATCCAACGGAAATCATGACCTCTGTTCGTCGTTTCCTCTGCGTTTCAAGTTGCTGGTGTCCTCTTACTCCGGACCTTAGATATCTCGAAGCATTTCTGGACGTTGAAACATTTCGGAAACTTTGTGAAACGTTCATAATCCATGTCTTCGTTGCAACGTGTTTCTTAATTTTTTGCATTCAGCTGGTAGCGAGCGCCGTCCGATTGACAACGATGCCAGTCTGAACTCGATGGCGGTGTCTACAGCGAGCACATATTATGTCCTCGCCATGAACCCGACTACCGCCGGCAGCACGATGAATTTGACGTTTCCCGACGCGGTATGCGCTAGGACGGCATGGCGCACATCTGCCAGCGAGGACTTTGTTGAGGTGGACGGTGCAGAAACGCAGAATGGCGAAGAATGGATCTTGCTCTTGACTGCAATTAGTTTGACGACCTATATCTTTGATAAGAGTGCGTGTTGAGTAGTAGGGGGTCCAGTAATGGAACAATCTGACATAGGTAACGGTCGTAATTAACTAAAGGAGTTTATGGCGGAAGTCCTTTGGCGTAAGGTCCATTTTATATATAAGACTGAATATTGAAGACCAGCTACAATAAGTCAAGCACCATAAACCCATTACTTAGGTAGCTCAAACCGCTCGGGGGCAAGACCCGGCGCACAATACAGTGTAACTGCCAGGACCTCCGGCAGTGCAACCAGCGGGTACCAGAAATGCTCATTGGCAGCCGTCTTGGTATTATCGATCGTGGCCATCAAGAAAATCTCGCGCACTAGGAGGAGAAACGAGATGGCACAAAGAATGAAGGACCCATGCTTCTCTCCAAAGGATTTAGTATGTATCGTATGGTATTCTGTTACAGGTTCAGTCAATAGATGGACGAGTAGTTCCGTGAATACACTGACCATCATCATTCTCTTTCATGATGAGTGCTATCGTCAGGCACGCTTGAAGGACTGTGAGGACCAGGAAGATTGCAATGCTGGCTTTGCGAAGGGTGGTGCCGGTAGAGCTCGTTGGATCATTCGACTCTATAGTGGTACCTGCTACTCCTAATGCGACGCCAGTTGAGAGGGAAAGATGGAAGAGCATGCGATTACGCCCGAGGCGCGATATGATGTTTTTAGCGGGAGGCTCGTCAGAGAGTAGTTCCCTTGGAGTCATCAGTAAAAAATCAGCAGTAGCTTATGAATTCGGCTCACCTGTCCAGCACCAAGGAGTAAGCAGCGTACAACAGCCCAAAGAACCCTATCCCAAACAAAACCTGGTCGGCAATGAACAGACTAAGATTTTCACCAGCCGAGTCCGATGCTATCAAAATAGCACGTATCGTGAATGCAGCGATACGAACTGGCATAATGATCAGTAGATCCTCCACCGATAAGACAAAGTGGCTTACTTTGGCAAAAGAGAATTAACACGAAGCGCACGTAGGTGAGGTTTCTGAAGCATTGGAGAATGAAAAGTCCACATAGAGGGACGTAGGGGACGATGAAAACAATGGCGGCAGCTAGGGAGCTGTAGCCGTCCGCGTCTGCATAGTTGATATTGGCCATTGAGAGGTTGTTGGGGAGTAAGGGTAGTTGGGCTACCTTGACATGAATGCCTGTTTAAATAGAGCAGCGAGGCGAGTTACAGTGTCAGACGCATCTAATTTTAGGTCCACGTTTGAAACTGCAATCTTTCCAACAGAAGTAGGCAGAGGCGTCCTTGGGACTCGACTTTATTGCAAAGATTAACGTCGCTGGTTGCTCAGCGCTCAAGCTTCAAGCTTGTCAAGCACTAGGAATGTCGAGCCCAAGGTCGACTTCAGCCAACCTGGTGCTGTCGGGAAGAGATTCGGAACGTCGGAGCGTCCGGAAAGACGGTAAAGACTGTCCCAAAGCGATGAAAAGATGAAATGAAAATAAATTTCAAAACATTAGGTACCATCATGGTGGCGCCGTGCTCGGATATGGAACTTCTTCCATCTCAAATCTTAAAAACGATACGACCGGTTAACCGCCCAGCTTCCATATCCGCGAAAACACTAAACGGAAGGTTAATAAGAAAACTGAAACCTGAGAAAGTGCGCACGTACTTGTTCACTTCTGTGAGATCTTTGACTTCGAAATGACACTTCACTTTCCCCCGGGCGGCGAGATCCAATGCTTCAAGGGTATCTTGTTGGTTGCTAGCTCAACACTCATTCTTATTTTCAGATTGCGATAATAATAATTTTACCTACCCAGTCGCCGACCCCACGATCTTAAGCCCCTGAGTTTACTGTCAGCGGGCAGATCTCTGAAACGTTCGACGAGGACCCACCTTCGTAACCAATAGGGCAATGGGAACATTCAGTGTCGCCTGTCCAGGTGGCATACCTACAGAAACCATTGTCCCAGCCTTGCGCAAATACATCAATGCTTGATTGAAAGGCCTTGGCTGCAAAACAGTTCAGATAAAGCGCCCATAATACCATAAGAAGGAAGCATACATCACCGACGGCGAGGAGCGCAGCATGAGGACCAAGACCGCCTGCAGCGTGCTTGACTTCCTCAACAAGGTCCTTGCCCTTCATAAAGTCAATGAACGTCTCAGCTCCCAGTGAAAGGCACAAATCCCTCTTCTCGTCGCTGGTATCTAGGAAGCGTTAGACTCGGAATGAAACAAATTGATGGTGAGAGCGCACCGATGGCTATGACACGTAAGCCCATGGCTACAGCATATTGGATAGCTTTTGTAGATAAATATAAGTCTGAAGCTGCTATGCCAAATGCGGTTCACATACCCAGATGACCCAGTCCACCACCAGCCCCGGAAATGGCTATCCAATTACCGATTCTCGCCCTAGACTCTTTCAACGCTCTGTACACAGTCAATCCCTAATTATCAGCATTAGCTGTGGGCTCGGGGATTAAAGAGGTGCTACAGATAGCCACATACAGCACATAAGATAGGCGCTGCTTCATCGCTTGGAAGCTCGTCGGGAATTGGAGTAACATAGTCAACAAATGACACCTATGGAGAATGAGTTTTGTTCTGTTGCCCGAGAAAATTTCTCACAATGTAGTCAGCGAATGCCCCATCCAGTCGAAATCCATGGCAGTGCGTGTCAGCGACAGTACAAACTAGGCGACAACGAATTAATAACGGCTTGAAAGCACGGATCCGTGAGCTTACGCGCATCATTCCCGAGGTAGCACTGTTCACATCTATGAAACGATCAATCCTCGGTTAACAGTTCGTTGCAAGGTATTCATACTTCAAACAAGCATTCGCAACCCATTTCGTGCCCACTCTATCTCCCACTTTGAAGCCAACGTCAGGGCTATGATTGGGCCCAATAGCAACAATACACCCAACTCCTTCATGGCCGGCGACGACAGGAATATTAGGTTTCTTCAGCCAGTCTCCGTTCTTCGCATGTAAATCCGAATGGCAGCACCCCGCGTACTCCAACTTGATAAGGCATTCTCCTGGAGCCAGGGCCTCGGGTTGCTTAACAGGATAGTCGTTCCGGAGCACCAAATCCTCTTTGAGCTGGACGATTACAGCTGCGCGTGCGGTCTGGGGGATAGACATTGTTGAGAAAACATCGAACTCATTTCCGGTAGTTATAACAAGTACTTACCGAGGCATGTGTTCTTTCCGCGAAGGAACCTTAACCTTATGGATCATTACGGTAACGCTGTCCAATCAACGCTACGTTATATTGGTCAGCTGTAGACATGAGGCTCTGGCGGCGATACCGCACGACTTTGCAAGTAGACTTGAACATTTTCGGCTAATTTATTTCTGATAGAAACCTATATTCAGTGCGAAATACGCATGGAGAGTCAGCGTAGATGTCGTACCATGGCCGCGGGCGGGGGGAATGGGCCGTTCGGAGCCGGGAGGTATTTGCGGACCGCTACATTCGCTGGGTTACTGAGGACTAGAACTGCAATGGTTAAGGAATCGAAATGTCGTTAAGGCTCTGTGTATGAATAGAATAACATGCCGGGGGGATGTCTCGGAAAGCACAATGCAATGACAGCAGAGATCGTGCGACGCATCGTGTTGCCAATGTGAAACTTTGGTAGTTTTCAAGAGCATGTTTTGCTTCGGCAGAGATAGAAATAAGTTCTTGAAGGTGCTCAACCGTGTCCGGGCCCAATTGGGATTCTCTCGGGGTCTCAGATATCATGTTAGAAGCTAGATATCATTGAAGTTAGCAAATGCACCCTTAGAGTAACAAAAACTTCTTTTGGTGTCAGGCTGATGCAAAAGGAAGCGCGGATTGCGGCACCGGTTACATACCGGTGGGCCAAGCGCAAGTAGCCGTTGCTCCGTTTACCGTGACCTTTTCGACCGCAAGGTCACCGGCCATGACAACCACTATCGTAAGGTATGTAGGTGTCTTGTACCTTTTTTTTTGCCACATATTGACTAGGATGGAAAATGATCCCACACTTACAGAGCGCCATTAAGCTTTTTGGTGCAGAATTGTCAATCCGCATACGTTCACTGGCAATAAACATCAATTCTCAATGCAAATGTAGAGAATAGAGGAGAAAATAAGCACTGACAAGTTACCCTTGAAACGACGCGATGCACCCTCGGTCACGATTGCGACTCTCCAACCAACCCATGAATTACCTGTTCGACTGGATGCATCATTCTCCCAGTTTTCAAATGTTCCGATGAAACTTGACAGGTCCATTATTCATTATGTCTCCTCTGTACCTGGAAAGTTGTCGGGTCGGGTCGAACTTCGCCGTTGCTATCTTGCTAGAAGGATCGTTAAGAGCCATGACTTCTCGTACCTCAGCAGCATCTGCTCGAGCTTTCTTATTCCATCACGAAGCCGAACTAGTGAGAGGATACTCAATACTGAAGATGGTAATGTCTGTTAATGCTGGAAGGACAAGACTTTTGATGAACGTCGCGGAAGAGCACTTCGGCGTTATCAAATGAGAATGAATAATAGGTGCAGAAAGGGATTTTCCTTGAAAAGCGTCAACCTGCAGAACGCGTAGTGCAATGTTACTTTCACGGATGAAATCTGTGAAGGTACAGAGGGCCCACAGGAAGTGTTTCAACATTCCAAGATAATGTACGATCGGTGACATTTCCTTCGGATGGAGAAATATCTCGGACCATATCTCCAGCGGAACAGGGTGGGCTGGGACAACAGTGTTGTAAGCATCTACTGCTTGTAGCATCTTAGCGCGGTGCTCGAGAAAGTCACTGGATACCTTCGTCAATATTCAGGATGCCGGAGATAAGAGAGGTGTACTGGTTTTGGGCTGGTTGAAATCAGGAAAAGGATCATTGTTGGAGAGAAAAGGCAGAAAGTTGGACGTGACGTGAGCAAGAGCCACTTGCGAATGCGCCAGAGGAAAATTGCCTTTGTTATGCGTCGAAAGGAAGACCAGACATCTAAAGAACTTTTGGGTTCTCTTCCAGCTACTGAAATCAAGAAACTGCGAAGTACGGCGCACTGTTGAGACCGGTATTGTCGACGCGTGATGGTGGTTGATAAAGAGGCGTGAGGACTAGATTCCAATTCGAAGCAAATCCTTTCCGGACGACGAAGAACAAGCCGCCTTTCTGAGTCTCTCTTTCGCTCTAATGATTCATCATGTCAGCTTCAACGGCTATTGAGAGCCCCAAACCGGGCTGAGAGATCCAGATACCCTTCGGTAATGATCTCTATCATCGCGCTTCCGTTCGTTATTTGTTTGCCACTGTACCATTAGATGTTGTAACTAAATACTGCCGAGGTTGAGAATGAAGGAAATCCTTGCAATTCTGTACACAAGGAAATCACAGAAACATGGTGGCTCTTAGGATGTATCGGCAAAGGGACCAGCCTGACAATGGACGCAACTGGAGCTGAACAGTACAAAACCACAAATCATAGACCAAGTATTGTATAGTAATATGCCAGACTCGCTTATAACGAGTCCGCTCTTTAGAACGAGATCAACCGACTCGGATACATCCGTATACATGCATCAAGGCTCTATCAGCTGGGGTACAAAGCAAAGCAAGTGCAGGAGTAAATTCGTACATATACAAGCAAGAATACAAACATGACGACAAATGGCAGGAATATCTTTCTCTGTTCCACTGGGAAAGGGCCACAGATTCCGCTGTGTTGTGACCGCTAGATCTTAAGAAGCAGGACTGTGGATACAAGGTTCTCCCTTTCTTTTATCCTATGAAATGTGTCCATATAAATAATCCCATATTACTGCATGAAAAATTCAATATTATACCTCAGAATATTGAATTATATAACTTTTTATTTTTTCTACCTTTCAGCCTAAAATATCAGAAGATTATTTTAAATATTATTGAAATAATATTTTAATATTAGAGTTTAATATATTGAAAAATAAATAATTATAGAATTCAATATTTTAAGCTGTAATATTGACCTCTGCTGCTCACTCAAGGAGTGGGATGTAATTGGCTATAACGAGGGCCTCAGAGACTGCCCTCAAATTGATTGCAATGTGTGAATGGCTATTATATGCTTTTGGTTGGTGAGAGATGGGGGTGGTAGCGGTTTGAGAAGGTTGAATGGGTTGCAGATTAGGGAGAGGGATGATGAATGCATAAATATGCCAATTGTAGTTGTGCTTGTAGGGCAGGATGTTCCTGAATGTAAGTGGTCTATGTTTTAGAAGACCACTGACCCAGAGCTTGTATGATGGACTCTGAAAGTCCAAGTGATGCATAAAATGTAGCTCCTCCAGCCCTAGCAGAGTGACCATCAAAGTCTCTGCCTAGAATTGCAAAAAATTTCTTGTTGAACCAATTTTATGATGGAATATCACTATTTTCACAGAGGAAGAGTAGAGCACATGGGCCATGAAGAAGATCTTGACATTTTATATATTGTGATAGGAGCATGACTGAGTTGGCAAGCTCCTGTTGTGTGAGTAGGATGTCAGTGCCATGGTAGAAGAGGTCAGACTTGTTGTAAAGAAGATGATATTGTATGTTGTTCTTTCAGAGAATGAAGGAAGAACATTTGATTATTTTGCAAAAGTCCTGAAGTTGTTTGTCATTTTTCCAAATGAGCTCATCTGACTGATGGCAGCCATAGAAGCAGCAAGCAAGGATGGTGGCAAATAAGAGATCATTGTAAGAATCTGAGATATTAGTGAGAAGACAAAAGATGATCAAATAGGATAATTGAAGGGGTAGTTTTGGGGATGTGGGATCACCTCTTGTCTTTCTTGAGCCATGGATCATAGCTTGCACCATAGAATATTTGCAACTGGTATCAAAGTCAGGATAGAGGTCTTTTAGAAAGTGATAGACTCCAGTTAAGTATTTTGGGCCAAATGAGATAAACTGGGATGTATAGGCAATGTATCTGCTGAGAGTAAGTGGTGTCAGTTCAAGTTGTAGTGCATGAGTAATGCAAAACCATATATAGTCACATGCTCCTGTTGCATAACTCTTTGCTGCTCCAAGCTCAATCATATGAGCTTGAAGAAACAGAACACATTCATTGAGAAGAGAAAAGGAGGAAGCTGGGCAAGTAATATGAGGAGCATGCTTGCCCAGCACAGTTAGAAAGATTGTCTCCATCACACCAGCAGTAGATCTCTTAGTGGAGTAAAAGTGTGGACATGGTCAGCAGGGAATTTATGATGATATTCATCCAAAAGGAGTCAGGAAAGCATATCAGCCTAAATATTATCTTTTCCATTGATATATCAAATATGAATGTCAATTCCTGAATGGAGTATCAGGCCTGCAGCTCTGAGTAAGGGTCCATTATGAAGAGGTTCTGATACCAACAGAGAATCAAATGCAGAGACAGAATTGAGGCTATCTATGAAAAGTAAAAGGTGATGAGGGGATTTGGGTAGAGATACTGCATAATAGATGGCTGAAAGAATAGCAACAAGTTTGAGAAAGAAGATGTCAATCATATCTTTAGATAATGGTGAATGGAGCTGATATACAAAACTATTTCCTGCAAAAACAAATGATAATGCATTTTTTAAGCTGGTGTCCATCCAAAAAATCATGTCAGCTTCTGAGTTGGCCTAGAGAGCTGAGTCAACAAAACAAACACCTACAGAATCTGACAGAATAGATGAAAATCAGGAGAGATCCTCTCTAACTGCAGCATTGATGAAGATCTTTGTGAAAGAGTGAGTCTTTCCAGCCATCTTTCTATACAAAGAAGAAAGAGCAGGATGGCCCCATGGTAGAATATTCAGAACCCAGTTCAGGTATCTGCCTAAATACTGCTATTTCTGTAGAATAGATGCTCTTCCAGATGTTGAAAGAAATGAGTCGATCTCAGATTTGGCATTGATAACTGACTGCTGTGTAAGAGAGATACTTCTCTGGTTGGCATCAACCCAGAAGCCAATGATTTTGAGAGTCCAACCATGCAACTGTTTTAGATCATCAAAGAGATAGAAGATATATTCCTAAAATATTAAAAGTTGTACTTGCTATGCTGGTTGCTGCTGACCTCAATAGAAAACTTGGTGATTAGTGAAATCTCAGCCAAAGAAGTCATCCATATAAACATGAAGGTCAGTGATATCAAGATGATGAATTCCAATCTAGCACAACAAGACTGAGACTGAGCACCAAATCCTGAGTGAAGCTCAGCTCCCAAAGATGAGCCATCTAACAATGTGATATTGATTGTCAACAAGAACCACTTGATGAATTTGCCATAGAGGATGCACTGGTAAATTCAAAAAGGCCTTAGTGACATCACTTTTATACAGAGTGAAATCAACATTGGGATGTTGTAATTTGGCATTGCAAAGAGCCTTGCTGAATGGATGCATATCATTGTATTTGACCTTTGCCTCACTAGCAGGGATTTCTGCATTTAAACCAGAGGAAGTATGATCTGTTATGATATGGGGTTTTCCATTCTGCCAGACCACAAACATTGGTGATACTTTCATACCTGATAGAAGTGTAAACCCATCTGGTAGAGATGGTGACCAATGTCCAGCTGTGACCTCATGATCATGAAATGCTTATATTTCATTGATATCTCAAGGATCAGTGGTATAATTCTCAGTCTTGTCATGGAGAGAGTCTTCCCATTCACCAAGATTGAGAGGCCAGAATCCATTGTGAAGACCATGAATGACTGAGAAGACAAAGGGTTCATTTGGATAAAAATAAAGAATATTCTCCAAGCGATTGATATTGAATAGTGCATTGACTACAATAAAATCCTTTAAGGCATGTAGTGTAGCCTACAAGGATGGATCATTGAGTAGATATGAAGGAGGAGAAGGTAGAGGATCAGCTGACTCAGTAGATTGAGCAGCAGGATGTTAAGCCCAAACTCCATATGACTATTAACACATGATAAACAGTTCAGTACCTCGCACTTTGGGTATGTCCAACTGAGTTCACTGATATGTTAACAGAGGTGTGTGGTCAAGGCATTGCAAGTTGCTCGAGATAGGATGGTAGAGAATAAACTTTAGCTTGAAGCTGAGGTATTACAGCGAGAGCTATGCTACTTAAATACTGTTCTGTTATCATACTATAAATAAATGTGCACAAAAAGCTGTTGTCTGTCATAGAGCTGTTTCCCCCATCGTTGCCAGGTTCTCCACAAAAGCTGTTGTCTTGCTGTTGTGCTGTAGTCATTGCACTGTCAGTTGGAGACCAAAGAGGTATTGTCTCTCCCTTCACAGCACACAGCAATACGATAGGAGAATGACTGACTTGGGTTGCTGAGCTAAGCATTCCCATGGTCCTAAGTGCTGGCCTAAGTGCCCTGACTAAGCAAGATAGGGGTCATTTCCAAGGAAAAAAGAAAAGAAAATAGGAAAAATCATAACATTACCCCCTTCTTAAGACCATCATCCCAATGGTTAAGTTAGAGTAAGTCCTCCTTGCCAAAAGGAGGTGGCTGATCTGCTGAACTCATTGGCATTTGTTGTGCAGGCTTCAAACGAGTTGAAAGTGTCGCTGTCTCCACCATTTGTGGTTCGCTTGTTGCAGGGTCATTTTCATCGTCCTCTTTAATATGTCTTCTGCTGATGGCAGATCGGTTGATGTATATCTGGCTAGATATCATCTCCCTTCCTTTTGTTGCCATCGCATTGTCTGTGATTGCTGACTTTGACCCCTCGTCACCTGATGTTTTTGACATAATGTTGAACATGACCCCTTTCACATCCAATGTATTGATTCTGTGTTCATAGTCCCATATGGCATTCTCTGCATTCATGTATTTTTCATTGACCTATTGGTTTGATTCCGGTCCATAGCCTTTCCAGCTGACTAGATAGTCAATAGTTGTTTTTATGCCTCTGCCTTGTGCTTGAACTTTTCGGGTTCTATAGTTTAGAACCTCATCAATTTCATAGTGTTCTTCATCGTCGATGAGTTCTGGTGGAGGCGGTGGTGGTTTTTCTTGGTTTGGAAAGGCTGGCACCATGTATGGGGTCAATAATGTTTCATTAAAAACATTATGAATTTTTCAGGTTGCAGAGATTTGCAACCTGTATGCGGAGTTTCCAACTTTGCATAGCACTTTGAAGGGGCCTGTTCATTTGTCTGACAGTTTCTGCTTTGGTCTAGGGAGATGGAGGTTGATCGTATCCAGCCAAACTTTGTCATTGACTGAATATTCATGTGATAGGCATTGGTGCTTGTCATACTGCTTCTTCATTGTTGAAGCAGCTTGTTCGAGGGCTTTTTTGGTGTCCTCATGGATTTTTGTCATATTTGTTGCAAAGTTCATTGAGGCAGGCATCGTAGTGTGTAGCCATCCCACTTGTGCAACTGGTGGATTCCATCCATAATTCACAAAGAATGGTGTTTTACCCGTTGTCAAGTGAATCCTGTTGTCGTGCTGGAAGGCTGCCAGGGCTAGCCATTCTGTCCAATTGTCTTGTCGATAGTTAATGAAAAGTCATAAGTACTTTTCAATTTCTTGGTTGGCCCATTCTGTTTGGCCATCTGTTTGTGGATAATATGCCATTGAGGCATTTTGTTTGATATTGAGAAATATTGAGGAGTCGATATAAGTCATCCAAGAATTTAGATATGAACTGTGGTCCTCTGTCAGAAATTACTACCTGAGGTATGCCATACTTTGCATAAACCTCATCTCATAGTATCTTTGCCCATCCCTCAGATGTCAATTCTGTTGAGCAGGTGATCAGTATGATCACCTTCAAGAAGCGATTGACTATAATGATGATGGCATCATAGCTGTTACTTTTGGAAAGTCCAGTTATCATGTTCACTGAAATGTGGGTCCATAGTGAAGACGGCACCTCATTCAGGTTTAGTGGAGCTGCTCTGGGTTTTGTTGAAGTCTTGCCCTGTTGGCAGGTTTCACAGGCCTTAACATATCGGATGATATCATAGTCCATTTTCGGCCACCAGTATTCCCTCAAGACCAATTCTTTGGTTTTTGCGATCCTGGGATGCCTGGCAGTCACATGATCATAGCAGATGGCGATGATATCACCTTAAAGTCTTTGATCTCTTGAGATGTAGATTTGTTCATCGTAACAGATCAATCCCCCTTCTTTCTTTAGCCTGCGCTCGTGGTTGAGTGATGGGGCGATCCTTTGATCCCACTTGTGGGGATCCTGAGTGGCACTTCTGATACATTCATGCATCTCTTCTTCTGTTGGCATGATCATTGCCTGGAAGTGCTCTGGCCATAATAATATGACCTCTTTGTTATCGTCTCCTCTCTGGTTGTGATCCACCCTGCAGCTGAGGAGATCGGCTTTCTTGTTCGCCACCCCAGCCTTATGATGGAGTGTATATTCATATTGTGATAGTTCTGTGACCCATCTGGCTTGCCTGCGATTTAGCTTTTGAGGTTGACAGAAGTATCGGAGGTTTTGATGATCAGTCCAGATCTCAAATGTATGATTGGCTCCAATGAGATAATGCCGCCATTTGGCAAAGGTGAGCATTATAGCAAGGAGTTCTTTATCGTAGATTTTGTAGTTGTGCTCTATTACTGTGAGCGCCTTTGATATGAAGACGACTGGTCACCATTTGTTGTCCTGTTCTTGTGAAAGTACAGCTCCAATTGCGCCTTCACTAGAGTCGGCTTCCATCCAGAACCTTCCATCTTGGCTTGGTATAGCCAGGATGACATCTTTGGCTAACCAACATTTGAGATCATCGAATGCTGCCCATTGGGAAATTCCCCAGCTCTATAGGGAATTTTTGGTCAATTGTGTCATTGGTTGAACAACTTTGCTGTAATCTCAGATAAACCATTAGTAAAAGTTGGTGAATCCGAGGAATGATTGTAACTCCTTCTTCTTGGTCGGTTCTGGCCACTCAGTTACCTCTGCCACTTTGATGGGGTCCATTCTGATGCTTCTTTCGCTGATAATGACTCCAAGGTATTCAGTTTCCAATACCTCGAATTCACATTTTTCAGCTTTGAGGAAGAGTTGGTGCTTCCTTATTAGAGATAATACTTGACATACTATCTGTCGGTGTTCCTCCTTGGTTTTGGATATAATGAGTATGTCGTCCAAGTAGATCGTGATCTTCTCTGTGGCAATGAGGTCTTTAAAGATGTCATTCATCATCTATTGGAAGGTGGCCAGTGAGTTGGTGAGTCCAAAGAACATTACCATCGGTTCGAACAAACCTCAATTGGTTCGAAAAGTGGCCTTCCACTCGTCGCTCTCCTTGATATGCATGTTGTTGTATCCCCACTGAACATCCAGTTTGGTGTAATACTTCACACTCCAGAGTTTGTCTATTAACTTCGAGATTAGGGGAAGTGGATATTGGTTCTTGATCGTTATTTCATTGAGTTTCCGATAATCCTGTACTGGATGGAGTTTTCCATCCTTCTTCTTGACAAAGAAGGGCGAAGCCATCAGTGACTTTGATGGCTGGATTCTTCTGCTAGATAAGTTTTCTTCGAGAAACTTATTCAGCTCTTGTTGTTTGTTGTTGCCTAGTGGATAGCACTTGCAGTCCAGATTGGCATTAGCATTAGGGATTAATTTGATGGCATGATCCCATGGTTTTGCATCAGGTAGTTTATCGAAACTTTCTTTTTTAAATAGATCTCAATAGTTGCATACCCATTCAGGTACTATTTCTTCGAATGTTCTCTCTCCTTTTTTGGCATTAGCTTTTGCTGCTAGGTCATTAGCATGGTGTACTGCCCTGATGCTAATGGCCCTTTGTAGGTCAATGGCGAGAATAGTCTCTCTGTCTTCCATTTCTTCATCCCATCGGTCCTCAGGATCTTCATCCGGTA